AGAGTTGGTACTTCCTCCTGTTGCAATACTCCTTTGAAATTCAAATTTCTTTTATGTATATCTAACTGGTTTACTTTAAAATCTCTAGAAGCTGCCTCAAAACTGTAACAATTTTGTCTTCATAAGACACTCCCAATCCCCTTCTATCTTAAACTTAACTGCATCCGCCTATGGGACCCTAGCTTTCCAGGGCTCTGTAGCTTCTCCCGGTATAGAGGCTTCTTCCATGGCTGGGGTGAGCAGGCTGGGACATCTGCAGGGGAGGCTTTCCAGAACTAACTAACTGGGTTTTTAATAACATCCCTTAGCTGGCTGAAAATTAACCTTAGCTTGGAGTCACTGGGCTCAAGCTTTAATTTTCATGTCAGAATCATTCACTTAGTTTTTGAAACAAAATGTTTGAAAAATCCAGCAAAATGACTCAAAAACAGTGTTCATGTAAGAGAAGAAATTTTTAAGGTACTTACATTTTGTACCTCAGTAAGAGAAGCAAATGTATTTATTTATTTCGGATAATAAAGCACTATTTTGTTTTTTGTATTAAAAATCATGTGGTAAACAATTAGTTATATGGGAACACTTCTAGGAGGTACCAAGTTTCATTACATGAAATTTAGCATTAAACTCAGAAATTGAAATAACAGGATATAGAACAAAGATATTTACTTTTGCAAATTTATCCTGCAAAAAAAGAAACTGTTTTCACAAATCCATGTAACTCACCAATTATCTACCACATTTTCTTTTGGAAATATATTAATTCTCTACAGCCAAAATGAAAGAAAAATTTTTCTTATTTTTTTCCTCAGTAGCTAACACTCTAAAAGCCAGGTAGAAATCTGTTTGAAATCACTCAGCCATAAAAAAAATACCTGAGAAAACTCCTAAATTCACTCTGAGACATAAAAAGGTGAATGAGAATTTTCAACAAATAAAATATATGACTAGATATTATTTTTTGAAATTCATCTTTTTTATGTCCTTTATAAATATTTTCTTACCTTTCACGCCCTAATAATAAAACATAATTTACAGTTAAAAACAGGTCAGCCGGGCAAAGGCTCACACCTGTAATTCCAGCACTGTGGAGGCCACTGCACTCCAACCTGGGTGACAGAGGAAATTCTGGTACTTGAGGCCAGAATTTTGAGCCTCAAACAGCCTGGTAAATCCCCGTCTCTTCTAAAAATGCAAAAAGTAGCCAGGTGTTGTAGTGGGCACCTGTTGTCCAGCTACTGGGGAGGCTCAGGCATGAGAATCACTTCAACTCGGGATACAGAGGTTGCAGTGAGCCGAGATTGCACCACTGCACTCCAACCTGGGAGACAGAGGAAAACACGGGCTAAAACAACAAGAACAACAACAAAAAAAAAAACCTGAGGTCAAAATAAGAGAACAAATCATTTCAAGCAGAACTATATGTCTGTCTTATGTTTCAAGTCAGGTCATTCAATTACTTGAAAGATTCTCCCACCCCATCTTGTTCACTTAAGTGCTCAATAATAATTTTCTCAAGACTCTGAATTATGCCCCAGTGAGTGCCCCAGATACCTTTTACTTTTCAAGTTCTTGCACCATCTCACTGGGATCAGTTTTTGTTGTTGTTGTTTTCCTATATCTTTGGAGTGGTATTTTATTTATTTATTTTACAAACGTTTTACCATTTTTCTTTCGCTATTTTTCTGTCCCCTAAGAAAATCCAGGGGCAAAAATTATTTTGGTTTCCCCTTCAATACCACCATCTGATTGTCTGACCAGCAATGTGTCTCCAAGAAATGGAAGCTTGGTTGGTTAAAGACAATACTAGTATCTCAAGGGGTTAGCTTTTCAAAAAAACAGTGCACCAGGAGAGGACTCAGCCCCAGGGCATTCACCTGCTCTCTCGAGAGGCTACACTTCATACATACCTCGGGTTATCTTATATGAGAAAATGACCCAGGAGCTGATATTCATAGAAACTCTAGCAGACAAAGCCATGAGAAGAATCTTGGATTTCTCCAGACAGTACTGAATCCCAGGTCCAAGAAAAAACTGAAGGGTGGCTGACGACCCATCTCCCTATAAAGTTTCCAAAGGGAAACCTTGACTCAAAAACATTCTGATAAGATAGCTGTGTCTAGGGAAAATAGAAATATATATATATTTACAAACAGAAAACCAATCTTCTTAAATGTGCCATCAAATGCTTTGTCAAAAAATGATTAATCAAAATAGGTATCAAAATGTACACTAAAGGACAAATCGGTTTTTTTTTTGTTTTTGTTTTTTTTTTGAGACGGAGTTTCGCTCTTGTTACCCAGGCTGGAATGGTGCAATGGCGCGATCTCGGCTCACCGCAACCTCTGCCTCCTGGGTTCAGGCAATTCTCCTGCCTCAGCCTCCTGAGTAGCTGGGTTTACAGGCACGCGCCACCATGCCCAGCTAATTTTTTGTAGTTTTAGTAGAGACGGGGTTTCACCGTGTCGACCAGGATGGTCTCGATCTTTTGACCTCGTGATCCACCCGCCTCGGCCTCCCAAAGTGCTGGGATTACAGGCGTGAGCCACCGCGCCCGGCGACAAATCGTTTTATAATGTGAATTAGGGAGAGGAAATTGGTGAATGGGAATGTCAAAAGGAACTAGAAATTAAGTATTTTACTGCAAGGCAGAGTCAAGCTAGAGAAATACAGGGTAGAGACAGACTTGAGGTCCTGCTTGGGACACATGTGAAAAATGCAAGGAAACTGCAGATCCCTGTGGGGTATGAAAATATTAAGTGGCTGGCAATTAGGCTGAGGAGGCTCTAGTACCTAATTTCAACTTTTAAAAAATCTAATTCGACTGGGCATGGTAGCTTACACCAGTAATCCCAGCACTTTAGGAGGCCGAGGTAGGTAAATCACCTGAGGTCAGGAGTTCGAGACCAGCCTGACCAACATGGTGAAACCCGTTTCTATTTAAAACACAAAATTAGATGAGAGTGGTGGCGTATGTCTGTAATCCCAGCTACTTGGGAGGCTGAGGCAGGAGAATCGCTTAAACTCGGGAGGCGGAGGCTGCAGTGAGCCGAGATGGTGCCATTGCACTGCGGCCTGGGCGACAGAGTGAGACTCCG